CCTCCCCTCCCACCTCCTCCTCCTTCTCTCCTTTCGCTCCCAGATTATTGCGAGAGACAAAAGCAGCCGACCCGGAGGAGAGAAAGGAAGGAGAAGAGAGAGAAAAGAAAAAAAAAAAAGAGGAGAGCCCATTTCCAGACAGAAATTAGAGAAAACGCTTTAGTATTTTGGTTTAAAGGTCATTCGAGGAGAGTGCTTCGACGCGGACCAATTGGCTACGGTTTGTTTACGAGTCGAGCGGAGGAGGTTATGGCGGGGTTTTTTCCCGCGCGAGAGAGAGAGCGCTGGGTCAGAACGTATTGTCGCGTCAAGCAAGAGGGCGCGGGGATAGGTAGTGTTTTTAACCTTTTTTCTCGTTTTTTTTTTATTCTTTTAACGAGGTTTGTTTTCGCTTTATCTGCTTTTGTTGTTGTTTTTTGTTGTTGTTTTGTGTTTTTGCCTGTTTCTTTATTTGTTCTTTTCTGGTCAGAACGTATTGTCGCGTTCAAGCAAGAGGGCGCGGGGGATAGGTAGTGTTTTTAACCTTTTTCTTTTCGTTTTTTCTTATTCTTTTAACGAGGTTTGTTTTCGCTTTATCTGCTTTTTGTTGTTGTTTTTTGTGCCTGTTTCTTTGCTTGTATTTTTTTTTGTGGGGGGGGGGGAGGGGTTCAAAACGTATTATTGCGTCAAGCAAGAGAGTGCAGGGCTAGTGAGGGTTTTACTTTTTTATTATTATTCTTTTAACGGGGTTTGTTTATGCTTTATCTGCTTTTTTGTGCCTGTTTCTTTGTTTGTTCTTTTCTGGGTCAGAACGTATTGTCACGTCAAGCAAGAGGGCGCGGGGATAGGTTGTGTTTTTAACCTTTTTTTTTCGTTTTTTTTTATTCTTTTAACGAGGTTTGTTTTCGCTTTATCTGTTTTTGTTGTTGTTTTTTTTGTGCCTGTTTCTTTGCTTGTGTTTTTTTTTTGGGGGGGGGTTCAAAACGTATTATTGCGTCAAGCAAGAGAGTGCAGGGCTTGTGAGGGTTTTACTTTTTTATTATTATTCTTTTAACGGGGTTTGTTTATGCTTTATCTGCTTTTTTGTGCGTTTCTTTGTTTTTGTTCTTTTCTGGGTCAGGACGTATCAAGCA